GAGTCTAGTACTAGGAGTCTAGCACCAGGAGTCTAGCACTAGGAGTCTAGCACTAGGAGTCTAGTACCAGGAGTCTAGTACCAGGAGTCTAGCACCAGGAGTCTAGTACCAGGAGTCTAGTACCAGGAGTCTAGCACCAGGAGTCTAGTACCAGGAGTCTAGCACTAGGAGTCTAGTACTAGGAGTCTAGTACTAGGAGTCTAGCACTAGGAGTCTAGCACCAGGAGTCTAGCACTAGGAGTCTAGTACTAGGAGTCTAGCACTAGGAGTCTAGTACTAGGAGTCTAGCACCAGGAGTCTAGCACTAGGAGTCTAGCACTAGGAGTCTAGTACTAGGAGTCTAGTACTAGGAGTCTAGCACTAGGAGTCTAGTACTAGGAGTCTAGCACTAGGAGTCTAGTACTAGGAGTCTAGTACTAGGAGTCTAGCACTAGGAGTCTAGCACCAGGAGTCTAGCACTAGGAGTCTAGCACTAGGAGTCTAGCACTAGGAGTCTAGTACTAGGAGTCTAGTACTAGGAGTCTAGCACTAGGAGTCTAGCACCAGGAGTCTAGCACTAGGAGTCTAGTACTAGGAGTCTAGCACTAGGAGTCTAGTACTAGGAGTCTAGTACCAGGAGTCTAGCACTAGGAGTCTAGCACTAGGAGTCTAGTACCAGGAGTCTAGCACCAGGAGTCTAGTACTAGGAGTCTAGCACTAGGAGTCTAGTACTAGGAGTCTAGTACTAGGAGTCTAGCACTAGGAGTCTAGCACTAGGAGTCTAGTACCAGGAGTCTAGTACCAGGAGTCTAGCACCAGGAGTCTAGTACCAGGAGTCTAGTACCAGGAGTCTAGCACTAGGAGTCTAGCACTAGGAGTCTAGTACCAGGAGTCTAGTACCAGGAGTCTAGCACCAGGAGTCTAGTACCAGGAGTCTAGTACCAGGAGTCTAGCACTAGGAGTCTAGTACTAGGAGTCTAGTACTAGGAGTCTAGCACTAGGAGTCTAGCACCAGGAGTCTAGCACTAGGAGTCTAGTACTAGGAGTCTAGCACTAGGAGTCTAGTACTAGGAGTCTAGCACCAGGAGTCTAGCACTAGGAGTCTAGCACTAGGAGTCTAGCACTAGGAGTCTAGTACTAGGAGTCTAGCACTAGGAGTCTAGCACCAGGAGTCTAGCACTAGGAGTCTAGCACTAGGAGTCTAGTACTAGGAGTCTAGTACTAGGAGTCTAGCACTAGGAGTCTAGCACCAGGAGTCTAGTACTAGGAGTCTAGCACTAGGAGTCTAGTACTAGGAGTCTAGTACCAGGAGTCTAGTACCAGGAGTCTAGCACCAGGAGTCTAGTACCAGGAGTCTAGCACCAGGAGTCTAGTACTAGGAGTCTAGCACCAGGAGTCTAGTACTAGGAGTCTAGCACCAGGAGTCTAGCACCAGGACTCTAGTACTAGGAGTCTAGCACCAGGAGTCTAGCACCAGGAGTCTAGTACCAGGAGTCTAGCACCAGGAGTCTAGTACTAGGAGTCTAGTACCAGGAGTCTAGAACCAGGAGTCTAGTACCAGGAGTCTAGCACCAGGAGTCTAGCACCAGGAGTCTAGTACTAGGAGTCTAGTACCAGGAGTCTAGAACCAGGAGTCTAGTACCAGGAGTCTAGCACCAGGAGTCTAGCACCAGGAGTCTAGTACCAGGAGTCTAGTACCAGGAGTCTAGCACCAGGAGTCTAAAGTCCTTTACATGGTTAAACAAGGATTAGAAGATGTCAGGACTGCATTGAGAAATAGTAAATTAGACAATTAAACTATTAATAAAATAATAAAAAGCTAAAATAATAAACTGTGTGTTGCTTTAAGTAAAAATAAAAATAACTTTGAAAACAACATGCAATAACAATCTTAAATAAATAAATATTAAATCAAAAGTCAAATGGAATAAAAGTCAATGTAAGTCATAAGTTTAACCCAATAGTAAGAAAGGAAAGAAGAGAAAAGAGCAGAGGACAAAGACTCAATAGTTCAAGTCACAACATGATTTAAAGATCCATGTTCCAGAGCCACGTCTAAATATGACCTGCCTGCACGTTCACATATCAATCCTGTTTGTTCATCTTTACTATCTGTGTGTGTGTCGGTGTGTGTTGTGTTGTGTTGTGTTGTGTTGTGTTGTGCACTTTCTCTGTGTGTGTTTTCCTGCAGGAGACGAACCCTTACTCCACAGTCACGTCCAATCACCATGAACCCAACCAGAGGTACACACACACACACACACACACACACACACACACACACACACACACACACACACACACACACACACGCTAACTCACTCACTCACACACACACACACACACACACACACACACACAGACACACACACACACGCTAACTCACTCACTCACTCACACACACACACACACACACACACACACACACACGCTAACTCACTCACTCACACACACACACACACAGACACACACACACACACACACACAGACACACACACACACGCTAACTCACTCACTCACACACACACACAAACACACACGCTAACTCACTCACTCACACACACACACGCACACACACACACACCCACCCACTCACACGCTAACTCACTCACTCACTCACTCACTCACTCACTCACTCACTCACTCACTCACTCACTCACTTCACTCACTCACACACACACACACACACACACACACACACACACACACACGCTAACTCACTCACTCACACACACACACACACACACACACGCTAACTCACTCACTCACACACACACACACACACACACACACACCCACCCACTCACACGCTAACTCACACACACACACACACACACACACACACACACACACACCCACCCACTCACACGCTAACTCACACACACACACACACACACACACACACACACACACACACACACACACTTCAGCTCTATACTGTACATATGTTATGAGACATTATATTTAAACTGCAGCTTGTACAGTAGGGAGAATAACATGAGATAATTCTGTGCATTAAAATTACACTTATTTGTTCATTCAATTCTAACCCTAATAATATCAGTGTCTCTGCTGATCTCTTCCTCTTCTCATCAAACAGCACCCTCTGCAGTCCTTTAACACTTACTGTTTCTTACATTTGTCAATACAAACCAAAGCAGTGTTATTTGGTTTTCTGTGCCACACACTCAGGCCCGTTCTCATTTCATCCAATGTCCCTCCTCGACTCCTATCCTCGAGACTTAGTCCCGCCCACAGGAGATGCGAGCGGAGGAGCCGAGGAGGGGAACGGAGGAGCCGAGGAGGGGAACGGTGGAGCCGAGGAGGGGAACGGTGGAGCCGAGGAGGGGAACGGAGGAGCCGAGGAGGGGAACGGTGGAGCCGAGGAGGGGAACCGAGGAGAGAGGAGGGGAAGCAGCAGGCGGTTAGAGAAATGAGAACTCCTCTCCTCTGAGCGGTCATTTTAAAGAGACGTCCATTAATGATGACACGAGGCACAGCAGCCCTCTGTCTGATGGACAGATGTGTTCATGACCACTTATATATTTACTTTCATTCATTCACAGTGCGGTATAATGAGACAATAACAGGCTACAGATGCGGACATACACACAGACACACAGACACAGACACACACACACACGCACACACACACACACACACACACACACACACGCACACACACACACACACACACACACACACGCACACACACACACACACACACACACACACACATATGTATATATTTATATAAATATATACAATTTCAGAATCAAACAGAGCACTCTCATAATAACGTAACACTATCAGAGACTGGATATATCCCCCCCCCCCTCTGGTCGCTACAATGAGGAAAATAAATTACGGGCCAAAAGTTTTATTTACAAGTATTACAAGTAAGCAGAGGACACCAAACCAACTGAGACCTGTCTGTCCGCTGCATCTACGCACACACTGCACCACACACACCTACACCACACACACGCACCTACAGCTCCTAAAGCATTATAATCAGGCTACAGCCGTTATGTATTTTATTATGTGAAGCACTAAATGGTTTTAGAAAAATATCGACTTTGTTTGTAGATATCTACTAAACTAAAGCAAATAAAGAGAGTAGGCCTGTTATACTGAGTGATATATATTATACACACTGCTCTGCTTTCTGCACGGACCTCACAGCTGATCTCACTGTAAACATCGCGTTGCGATGAAAGCAGTTAATAAAATAATATCCAGGGGATGCATGCAGAGCTGTGATTGGCTGAGATAAGTCCGGCCGTGCGTCTCGACTCTTTGAAACATCTCTGTTCCCGGAAATGCATCCACGAAGGAGCCGTGGAGGACCGTGGAGGACCCATCAGTGTATCCTCGGTTATAGCTCCTCCAGAGAGCCTCCTCGACGCTCGATGCTCGGTCCTCGATGTGCATTTCGAGAAATGAGATGTCCTTCAACATGGCGCGCTAAAATTCATTTCCGGGTCACTACCGGAGGACCGAGGAGTCGAGGAGTCGAGGAGGGGGATTTTTGATGAAATGAGAACGGGTCTCAATGCTGCTGAAGACACACACACACACACCATCAAGCTTCACTACGATGTCTTTATTTCAATTTGTTCCACATATTATCTTTTCATGTTTTTATTTGTTGTTTTTCTTCAGATTTTTCAACAAAATGTGACTTTTTTTTCGACCAACTTACTTTTTTTTACATTTCTTTTCGACATACTATACTATTTCTTTTGTTCCCCTAACCCTATGACTTTTGGGGGATTTTTGATACTATGATTTGTACATGTGATATTGATAGTGATTTCTCCCACAGGCTCTCTCTGCACCTGAAGACCACCTCCCCCTCCTCCCTCGCTCCACCTCCCCCCCCGCCTCGCCTACAGCTGGAATCAAACTCCAGAAATAACCACCGCCTTTATACCCTGCTGCAAACACCTGCAAACCACAGAGACTCTCAGCGAAAACCAGCTCTCTTCAGGGACTCGTGTGCCGACACCGAGCTTTAAAACACCAGCAGGGGCGTCACATTCTGATTATAATCTGCAGGGTATCTACGTCTAATTTACACTTTAGAAACCAAGCCCAATAAGCAAAGAGTGAGAGCTCTTCCTAATTTATTAATCGGGTTTTTATCAGATTGTATTCCATGTATTATACAGTTCCCCCCACCTGAATCTCTCTAGGTAGTGACCACAAATAGCTGCAAAAAAGAACCAAAATGTGTTTATAATAATATAAAAATGAAGTGCATGAACCCGCTAGGCATCAGTTTTATTCATCATGATTTTTTTTTTTTCTTGTGCATTTAAAGAATACTAGAGAATGACGCACTGTGGATGTAAAGCCCAGAAAATGTAATAAAACAGAATTTAAAATGTGTTCGGTTTGTTTTGTCCTGCTATCATTAACGCTCTCACGGGAGGAATTTCATTACATTGCATTTAGTGAAAACATTTTCAACATATTACGTTTTTAGAAACACTTAATTATGGCTTTTTAAATAATTTTTCACATACTATACTCTGACTATTTTTCGAATGTTTTATACATACTTAGAATTTTTTTCGACTATGTGTGGGGGAAACTTCTGAAGCAATTGGAGTCAGGACTCAAAGAGAGACACGATGGAGAGCTGGAGCTTTGATGGCAAACACTGACGGTTTATTTTATATTTGGAGCTTCGGCCGGAGAATTCACAAGACATGTCATAGGGCCACGATCTGACCACACGGATGAGATGCCACAATCAATTCTGAATAGTACTATTATTATTATTATTATTATTATTAATAGTAATAATTAACATTCTTCACTAGATAGACTAAACAGCTGAGGACACTGAATCACATTTGTTGTCGCTTATGGCTCGGGGTCATCTACACACCAATAAGGATGTGTTCCAGGTGTCCCACAACAATGACTATCTCTGACTGAGAGCTGCCCGGTCACAAACTGGTAACAACAACAACTTGCTAGGGCAGCCCCTCCTTAAGGGAGATTGCGGCTGCTCAAGGTTGGTCATCTGCGTCAGAGGGCGAAAGGTAAACATGTATACAGAATTATTCCCTGACAATGACTTTTTTTAACACACTATACTACAGTATGACTTTTTCCAATTTTTCTCGACTTTTTCTGTGAAACTATGCCTTTTTTAATCTCTTGTATTTTATTCTGTCATCCTATACTTGGACTTTCTGACTGATTTATTTGTATGTCATACTATGCTATACATTTGTATACAGAGATACTAGAATATGACTATTGTAATCCTGTTTTCACACAATATTTGAATTTCTTTTTTCATATTACAGAACAATTATGGCTTTTTTTGTGACCTTTTTAAACCACTTGTTTTAAGTGATACTCTTCCAGGGTTCCTTTGCTGTAAACATGATGAAATATGTTGGTAAAGAAACCTTTTTTCCACTGGAAATAAGATGAAGACATCAGTTTAAGAATAAATACATTTTTTTTTTTTTCTGACTTTACTAAGACTATTCAACTATATTTTTCGACAGTGTCATTTGACTTTTTAAATGTATTTTTTAAGGCATTCTTAACTTTGCCACGTCATTTCCTGAAGTACATTACCTGATTACTGCAAGCCCCCAGGAAGTGCGCCGGACTCTGAGGAAAATATCATAATGCCGAGGAAAATAACTCTCAGAATAACGTTATTAGCACATTTTACAATTTGAGGACCGAATATTTTCCAAGCCCCCAGGAAGTGCGCCGGACTCTGAGGAAAATATTCGTTGTGGCCAAACGGCGGTACTACACTTCAGTATCAGTCGCTGGGCCCGGAAATACTTTTTCCCATTGACTAACATGGGGAAAGAGACGTCTGTAAATCGTTGGATAATTTTTTTTAAACTAAGTAATCTACCCAGTATGAACGTTTGTATAGCCCTTATTAAAAACATTCGGTCCTCAAGTTGTAAAATGTGCTAATAACGTTATGAGTTATTTTCTTCGGCATTATGAACGCGCATCTAACCCACGGGATCGCGCCGCCCGGCACGTGTTCAGTACTACATGAGTTTTACCTTTACCCATGGATGCACAATAAGAACGGATTATATGATTATATGAATACTTTCGTGACGTTTCGCTCTCTCAAAAGTGGGGCCATTTTGTCTTCATGCGCCAATGAGCAACTCTCATAGGAATGAACGCGGCCCCCGCCTTCTTATTATACATCAATGATTACTCCCCTTGGTAAAAGGTGACAACACACAGGGTGCAATTCCCAGTACAACCATAATACCAGTAAAACCTCCTGACTAAAGCTAAAAGTTCCCCGTTAAACGCAGAAAGCAGCAGCTAGCTCTTTAGCACTTAGCATCTGTGGCTGTTGATGACGTGGCATCTCAGGAGCGTCAATTTGCGTCACTTCCCAGGTGGAGCATTACACCACACCTGCTTTATATCAAACAATTATATATAACTCCAAATTAAAGTAATGTTTCTAAATTAAGGTAGTTTTAAATATGTACAATAAATAACTTTATAATGTAGTGAATAGTGACTCAACTCAAACTCTGAAGATATAACTATTACAGTAATAATTCTGCATATTCCACATGCGTCCATTTTAAGATGGTGATGCCAATATCTTTCCATAACTTCTGCAAGAGTGTGATATTTTAACCTACTAGCAAACTGAAACATCAGTGAAGTAGTTTTACAGAAAAGCAGATATGGTATCTAGTGGACAAACATTACTTTAATAACTTGAAACCCAGAGATGTAATAAGTGAAATGTAGTTTAAATTAGCAGTGCAGCAAAATGTAGGATGTACTGAGTGTAAGGTGTTAACTTAAAATAATGTCAGAGAGTGGGTGACAGTTCAAGTCATTTTATTAGTTACCACCAACATTTGTCACAGCAATATTTCTCAGCGGCTCCATTCTGGGGGTTTGTCGAAAAACAGTCAACATTATATTAATTAGCAGATAGTGAACTTTTAACTATGCATACTTTGATCCTATACGTTTACATCATGCTTATGTATTTTCCGTTTAATAAATTACCATCAATCAAATTGTGGAACCCCATGAACACACTGTCAGCTAAACCAGTCTCAATGAAATCATTTAAAGTAAAATGCAAAAGTCAGGAATGCTCAATCTTTATTTAAACTTTAAAAAAATGAAGGAAAAAAAATGGAATGACTGACAGCCGGAGCAAAAATTGTAAATTCAACCCTGGTATAGATGGGTGGCTTTCTGTAGACTTCTTTAGAGAGGAGGAGGATTAGTTTCCTCCACGGAGACGGAGCACAAGATGGAGGGTGGACTCCTTCTGGATGTTGTAGTCGGACAGGGTGCGGCCATCTTCCAGCTGCTTGCCAGCGAAGATCAACCTCTGCTGATCTGGGGGGATTCCCTCCTTGTCCTGGATCTTGGCCTTCACGTTCTCAATGCTGTCACTGGGCTCGACTTCAAGGGTGATGGTCTTTCCAGTGAGGGTCTTCACGAAGATCTGCATGCCTCCACGGAGACGGAGCACGAGATGGAGGGTGGATTCTTTTTGGATGTTGTAGTCGGACAGGGTGCGGCCATCTTCAAGCTGCTTGCCGGCGAAGATCAGACGCTGCTGATCTGGGGGGATGCCTTCTTTGTCCTGGATCTTGGCCTTCACGTTCTCAATGCTGTCACTGGGCTCAACCTCCAGAGTGATGGTCTTTCCAGTGAGGGTCTTCACGAAGATCTGCATGCCTCCACGGAGACGCAGCACCAGGTGAAGAGTGGATTCTTTTTGGATGTTGTAGTCGGACAGGGTGCGGCCATCTTCCAGCTGCTTGCCGGCGAAGATCAACCTCTGCTGATCTGGGGGGATTCCCTCCTTGTCCTGGATCTTGGCCTTCACGTTCTCAATGCTGTCACTGGGCTCAACCTCCAGAGTGATGGTCTTTCCAGTGAGGGTCTTCACGAAGATCTGCATGCCTCCACGGAGACGCAGCACCAGGTGAAGAGTGGATTCTTTCTGGATGTTGTAGTCGGACAGGGTGCGGCCATCTTCAAGCTGCTTGCCGGCGAAGATCAACCTCTGCTGATCTGGGGGGATGCCTTCTTTGTCCTGGATCTTGGCCTTCACGTTCTCAATGCTGTCACTGGGCTCGACTTCAAGGGTGATGGTCTTTCCAGTGAGGGTCTTCACGAAGATCTGCATGCCTCCACGGAGACGGAGCACGAGATGGAGGGTGGATTCTTTTTGGATGTTGTAGTCGGACAGGGTGCGGCCATCTTCAAGCTGCTTGCCGGCGAAGATCAACCTCTGCTGATCTGGGGGGATGCCTTCTTTGTCCTGGATCTTGGCCTTGACATTTTCAATGCTGTCACTGGGCTCAACCTCCAGAGTGATGGTCTTTCCAGTGAGGGTCTTCACGAAGATCTGCATGCCTCCACGGAGACGGAGCACGAGATGGAGGGTGGATTCTTTTTGGATGTTGTAGTCGGACAGGGTGCGGCCATCTTCAAGCTGCTTGCCGGCGAAGATCAGACGCTGCTGATCTGGGGGGATGCCTTCTTTGTCCTGGATCTTGGCCTTCACGTTCTCAATGCTGTCACTGGGCTCGACTTCAAGGGTGATGGTCTTTCCAGTGAGGGTCTTCACGAAGATCTGCATGCCTCCACGGAGACGGAGCACGAGATGGAGGGTGGATTCTTTCTGGATGTTGTAGTCGGACAGGGTGCGGCCATCTTCAAGCTGCTTGCCGGCAAAGATCAACCTCTGCTGATCTGGGGGGATGCCTTCTTTGTCCTGGATCTTGGCCTTGACATTTTCAATGCTGTCACTGGGCTCGACTTCAAGGGTGATGGTCTTTCCAGTGAGGGTCTTCACGAAGATCTGCATGCCTCCACGGAGACGGAGCACGAGATGGAGGGTGGATTCTTTCTGGATGTTGTAGTCGGACAGGGTGCGGCCATCTTCAAGCTGCTTGCCGGCAAAGATCAACCTCTGCTGATCTGGGGGGATGCCTTCTTTGTCCTGGATCTTGGC